GACATGTTTTCCCCTTCTCCTCTTTTTGGGATCTATCGTACTCTCAACTAATTATGTATTGTTTTAACATTCGTTTAATAAATAAAATAATATTTTTGTGTTTAAGTTTAAATAACATATTACAACAAAATTAAGTTGATAGGATACTTTAAAGTGTGTTAATAGAGTCCCTCATGGGACTTAATCTCTTGATACCAAAAAATTAAGCATTCTATCTACAATAAGTTTATATGACATTTTTGGACATCATAACAAGTTTTTTAGAACCGATTTTGTTATAGTGACACTAAACATATATTCATTAAGAAGAGATGTTTATATAATGAGACATTCTTTTGAGAATTATTGCATCATGTGCTATTTCATATGATTATTTTTTCATCTAAGACTAGAATTTAACATATATAATTGTTTTACATATACCCGGTTTACAATGTATATGTTTTTGCTATGTTTGTAAAACAACATATAAACTTAATATTTGACAGCCCTAGGTCTTCCCCCGATCCCTTAATATTTGGCACTTGCATTGGTAATTCACTGAAGGTTTCAATAAATCCTTGGCTAAACGAATAGTGCTATTTTCCAATTGGTCTATTTTCATTCTGTTGCTAACGCCTTTAACTTAACCTATCTTACCTCACTATAACAAAATCTGTTTTTTAGGATATTCTCAAATTCTAAGTGTTCAAATAAATCTCTTTATAGGACATAGTTTATAGAACTAAAAAAGTAAAGTGTCCTATCTAAATACGTTGTAATAAATTTATATGACGTTTTTTGATGTCGTAATAATTTTTTATGACACTTTTAAAATAAAGCATCCCATTATTAACTTTATAAGACACTATCTGAAAAACTGTCATATAAAAACAAATGTCCTATAAAAAATTGAGTTTATAGAACACTTTCTCAAAAGTGTCCTATAAAGTTGATAATGTGACGCTTTTATATTAAAAGTGTCCTAAAAAACTTATTACGATGTCAAAAAAAAGTCATATAAACTTATTGCAACACCTTTAGATAGATATGACACTTTGTTTTTTTGGTCCTATAAACTAAGTCCTATAAAGAGATCTATTAGAATACTTAGAATGTAAGAGTATCTAAAAAACCGATTTTGTTGTTGTGCCTCCTGTTGACAAAATTTTCTGCTAGTGATAAAATCGATACCGATAATCCACCTATGTTTTCAGCTGCTGCTTATAATATGCTTCCACCATGGTCGTAGTCACATCATCTATCGCATAAAGTCAAAGACATAGTTGATGATGAAAATTTTCTCTCTTCTTAAATGCTATAATATTTACTTCATCTCATTCATCTACGATCAATCTATCTTCTTCAATCTTTTCGTAGTACCGAATCAGCCCTCCAATGGCATCTTCATCATCGTCTTTTCGCTCCACAAACTCTTCTTTTTCTCAATCATGGGAACACGATGTTTTAATTGGCTTTAGAGGAACAGACACCCGCAACGCTTTTGTGGATCATCTCTATTCGGCTCTTGTACACAAAGGAAAGTACACTTAAGGATGACCAAACACTTCCCCGGGGTGAAAACATTGGTCCATCGCTTTTGAAGGCTATTGAAGCATAACATATTGTTGTAATCGTATTCTCCGAAAATTACATATAACCCTTCATTTTCGTAGGATAAACCGAAACCTTTTTACGTTTTTAGAGGACAACCACAAACTATGCATGGAATTATACTTGTACTAAAGGGGTGTTTGGGTTTACTTATAAAAACAGTTTATTAACCTATTTCGGTATGACACAGGTAAAAAGCATTTTTGAGTGTTTGGATAAACAATTTATACGGGTATCAAACCGATAATAATTTTTTTTTAAACTCAACCATTCTAACTTACAATAAACTAATAACTGTTTTTATAAAAAAAATATAAATGATTTCAAATAAGCAATCTTAAACACCACTGAATAATAATTTATATGTTCCGGTGACAGTTGGCACAATTATTAAATAACACCTTTCTATTTGAGCCATAAAAAATCAATCCAATGTGAAAGGGTGGAAAGCAGTCAGCAAGAAACTTCATGTCTTCCTATGTCCACCCTCCCAATCCCATCAAGTTAAAGACAGTTTTGTTGGACTGCTCTTTCATGGAAATTCTCTCTTAAATCAAACCAAATCTACCCATCGATCTATCTTCTTCAACCTTCTTGAAGT